TAAATCTCTTTTTACCTGCATGTTTAAAGTGCAAAAGAGGTTTAAATGATGCTGTATTTAATGGATTAAATTTAATGTTTGTGCTGTTTTAATATGTTTCTGTTTAATGAGTTCTGATCCCTCTCCCAGGATGAACAGAAGTGCAATAGATGTCATGTGTAAACATACAGTTTCAAAGCAGCTGTGCACATTTTGTAAATAAAACATCCAAATCAAAGCCAAAACTTGACATTTACTGTTGGCATACAGGTGCATTGTATGTCATCACACTGGGAAACACTGAATGGTGTCAGTCATAATTTTTACATTTTTTTAAGGACATTTTTTGATTCGACTGTGGCCTTAAAGATGAAACTCTCATGTCCTGGTAATCAGCATACCAGTATGTATTTTAATTTTGAAGCAGAAATATCTATTTGAAGATTTCAAAGCATTAATTGCCATTTTCTTTGCCTCATGCTTTGAGATTATCCCTATCTAGCAAAACTGCGACATCACCTCTAAAGACTGGATGGAGCTGATGTTTCAATAAATATATCTATGAGATAAGAATAGAATCCAATCACATTACTCATTTTTCAACAGTAGTTGTAATTGAAGAGCAGCTCCTATTATCAGCTTCCCACTGATAATAGGAACACCAACATAATTGAATGGTAAACTTATTGAGGTTTTCAAACGTATAAATCAAAAATATGTTGAACAAGAGTAACCTAAATATTTACGCTCATTTGACGAGTCAAGCACACCACAATCTGAAATATACCTAATTTAAACTAAAGGGCCTTGCCCCAACCTATTTAGAATATAGCCCCAGACCAGAAGTAAACAAACAGGTGTGACAGGTTGTAAAAGTACTTTAGACCGTTTGGTGATGTCTACCTACCTGCAGTACCTTTTTTAAGTTCAAGTCATTTACATTAATCTTAAATATTCGAGCAAGCTCCCAGTTTACATCCTGGATTAGTTGTTGTCACGTATGCAGCCCATAGGGAGGATTTACACTAAGCAGAGGAACAGTAGCATCTCGTTTGAAACCATCTAAAATCATACAGTCAGGAATTTGAAAAAATAAAAAATAAAATTGCTGCTAATGTTTTCTGAGAGGAATTGATTCTATTGGAGGGCATACAAATTACAGTATTACATACAATTTTAGAACATAAATCGCACAAACTGCATATGTGTACTGGGCTGTATTAGTTAGTAACAGTCAGCAATATGCATGACCACAGTCAACAATATTATATTAAAGTGTAGCAAGACAATTTTATTCATGTAGCACATTTCATTAAAGTCAAATTCCCTTACTAACCTCCACAGATGGCATGTGCCCAGATATTAGAAGTGAGGGTCGGAGTCTAGACAGATGTGGTGTGACTGGGTGGTATGATTTAGTCACATCGGTGCCCGTGAGCAGGGTGGGTGGGGGGGTGGTTGAACTCTCCTCAATATTTACTTTTTAACCAGACAAAAGAGGAAACGAGGGCTGTAGTAATGACACGTAACAAGTATTGATCTATGGACATTTTAAGTAGAAATCATGGATTCTTACTGATTTCTCTTGTGCACTTTTTTTTTTTTTACCAAGAAGTAAATAGAGAAGCAGAAGAATTAAGACTTCTTAAGAAAATGTAGACTCTGCAAAAGGTGTATTATATCCCTAATATTTTTGTGCATTTTAACGTGTATTGCCAATATATTGACACTTCTTTCTTGAGGTGTCAATCAGGTAGAAAAAGTTAGAGTTACACAAGTTTTGTTGAACTGTTGAAAAACTGTTTTTATGGTTCAAAGTCTCATCTCTCCTCATGAACCTGAGAGAACCTACCTAGTTATATCATTACCCTTGGCAGGTCTGGTCATGCATATCTGATAATGACGTGTCTTCATGAGTGAACACACAAACGCACACACACACACACACACACTACCCACTAGTTGTCTGCTAGTATCATTAATATAAACAAAGCAGGTTTCTACCAGTCGCAGGATGTTTGTGTGTCTGCCTCACCTCGAGGAGCAGTAACCTTTTATCAAGCTTGTTGGTGGATCTTTAACTGGTCAACTTGGCAGTTGTTTAGAGGATTGCGAAAGTCTTTCAAGCTCTGGACATGAGGCGTGAGTGCAAGGGAAGCTGGCATGCATTTCAGGAAGTCCTCTTTAGGCTGATGCTTTCTCCAGGGAGCAACAGTCAAACACCTGTACCGGGCAAAGGTTGATCGGGGTCTGTCCTGCACCTGACGACTTGTCAATCAGTTCTGTTCCAGAAGAAGGTCGGAAAAGTTTCAATTTTAAGATCTTTTTTCACGTTACAGTGTGTGAAAAAGACTTGTGTTTGGGGAATTTTGTTGTCATACATTGCTATGGGGACTGCATGTCTTGTATGAGGATGATGCACTTTGAATGTCTTTGATTACTGACATGTTACAGCTCCTTTTGTGGTTTAGCTGAAAATAATAAATTAATTTCACAATTTAATTTACGATTTTAAGGCTGAGAAAAATATACTGCTATGCACACTGATATCACTAGACACTGATATCTGTGATGTGTAGACAGAAGCAAATTCATTCATTCATCTTTGGGCTGCATGTTCAATGTGTTCGAGACAAACACATGACTAAGAGATGGAAATACTAAATGTGAGCAGGCCGTTTGATCAACAGAGACAAAGTCTTTCTTTAAATCCCCCTCCACAATGAGTTGAGTGATTCTTACACAATCAGACTTAACATCTGGAACTACTCTGGGCTTTCAGTTATCTCACATAGGACTCTGACAGGACTTTCTACTACTCACTTTTTACTAGAAGATTGAACACAAAGTTTTCTTCAAAGGTAACGTCTGCTTTCTGGGTAATGTGCAAATCCAAGTCATTAGTGACACTGAAATCCATCAATATTTGCATAATACAAGACTTTGCCGTTGCCACTTCGTATTGCCACACTGTAGTTTTGTAAGTCGTATGAACTTTGGTCCAGAGAAATTTTGACCAATGTTCTAAACTAGAGGTCAGACTGAGTCTGCTGGGTTGACAGATCTTAATCTAAGACGGTTTTATTATAAGGTACTTTTACTTGAGTATTTAAATTGTATGCTACTTTATAGCTCTATAGTCCCATACATGTCAGAGGGAAATATTGTGCTTTTTACTCCACTACATTTATCTGACAACTGGAGTTCTTAGTTATTTTACAGATTAAGATTTCACAAACACAGTTACATGTTAAAGCATCAGTAATAGTATTCCTATAGTATATACTGTATATCCTTATATATATATATATATATATATATATATATACTAGCAGTACTACTCTATCACTTTTACTTAAGTAGAAGTTATGAGTACTTGCTGATCTTTCATTGTATCTCTACAGATGTGTTAAAATAATTGATTTCTTTAGGCTACACATACTTTTACTTTAACACTTCTTAATTGTTTGTACTTTTACTTTAGTGAAATCTTGAATAGGCCTTTTACTCGTAACAGAGTATTTGTACAGAGCAATACTACTCTGAATACTTCCTCCACCACTGCTAATTTGTATCCGTAGAGATGTGTTGAATTGATTTTCGGCAGTTTGGTTATTTGAAGATACATCTTGGGACCATGAAACACAGTAGTTGAGTCGTTTACACACTAGGTGGCATTATTTCACTCTCTGCAGTGCATTCAAAAGAGAACTGAATTCCTAAGTCCTAAAGACAAGCTTGTTTTTTTGACAATATTTTAATTTCATCAAATACATGAAGAGTTGGTTCGTTACTTTGTTAACTTGAATTAACTAGCGATGACTAAAATGGAGTGAAAGAGTATGAAAGCATGCAGATGTCCTGCAATGCTTTCTGGCACAATATTCAGAGTTTCAACATTTAGCAATGACGGTCATTGGCTCCGACCTGTTGCAATGACTTTGTCAGTCTTATATAAATGACCAGAACGGTGCTGTTTCACAACTGGAATCCTTATCTACTCGGATGATATCTGAAATGTTTCAATGCTGATTGTACTTAACGACCATTTAAAATAGTTTTCTCTTTTATTCCAGCAAATACGAGATGAGTGTCCAAGAGGGTTCGGTTAAGAGCAGTGGTGTTGCAGTCATGGATGGTAGAGCTGAGATGTATGCAAAATGATGCGTGTCCCAAAGTGAAAAAACACATCTTTACTATCAGGTAGATTTGATCCATTTGTACTATGTAACTAACAATTATGTTTGTCCACAGCATCTCTACCCAAAAGGCACCGTCAGACTCCACAAATGTAAAGACTCACCCCACCCTCATCCTCAATGGAGAAGCCACCACAGCTGAGCTCTGTGCAACATCTGAGCTGGAGGAAGCCACTGAAGGACTTTCACTAGGTAAGAGTCAGAGTGCAACGTTAGGAGAAAGAAACTAATCTGATATGAAAAACTGCCTCGAGAGGCAAAGATTTGTCGGACTAGTAATTGTAGAGCACAGTTGTTCTCAACGGCTCCCAGGGCTGAGAGACAAATGAACAAGACAATAAATGATAACAATAGATACATAAAAACAATAATTTAGTGGGGTTTCTGCTCCACAAATTATATTGTCTTTTATTGAGAAAACCTCTAAAAATGATTGAAATATGAAAAACTGAGAAGACGCCATCACTCTTAAGTTAAACACAAACATCTTGAAACAAATGCAACCTGTGAAATCAGCTGGATTGTCAAATAAATGAAGCAAAAAGATCTTCTAGAGATCTCTTCAAATGACATCCAATACAACACAGCATAACCTTTCTATCCTTACGCTGGAGTCAGAGAATGACCCTCGTTCTCAGCTTAATTATCATTATGTACTTGTTGTCACTATGTGTTCTTTGTTTTTTACAATTTTTGAAATCCGAGAGGTTTTGAAATAGTTCCTGCAGTTTGGAATGCTAAAATTCAAAGTGAAATAGCAACATGTGCTTTTGGTAATACAACATGAAAAAGGGAAAAATAAGATAAGATGGATAGCATGTTAAGTAATAGAGTGATCTGAACCAGTCTAATGGTGCGTCTGAAAAGCCTTGTGGGTGTTTTTGATGCTGTAAAGAGACCATTGAGTAAAAATCACATGTTTCACTGTATCAAATGATGCATCAAGATCGTTCAATTTTGTGACCTTTTCTAAAATCAGTTGTAGTTCTGCGAAGTTCTTTGAAACCAAAGTTTGGAAATTAGACTTTAGTGAAGTACTTACAGCAACAAGGTGGAGAGGAAGATGCACCTCAGAGGCAAAGAGCTGTAACAATAGATGCTAAATATTCGGGGGCTGACGTGTTGCATGTTTTCAGAGTTTTGGAGGAAATTAACTGCAAGATGAAAAACAGATTTTTGCAGAAGAGCAAACAAAGATTTAGCAAAAGGAAGGAATAAAATAATGTATACCATCCTACTGTAGAGTTGTGGTGAGAGAAATAAGAAAAATAATTAAATAACGGGAAGGAATTTTAGCAACACGAACAAATACAACATTATTGTTTGTGTTGTTTGATGCTCTCATCAAACTTCCTCTAACCAAACCTGATCGGTAGGTAGGCACTGATATTTATGTTTTGTCTCAGGTATCATTATAGCCCTCCCACATTCACAGCACAACCTGTAAATCGTGTTGCTCTGACAATTCATGTGTAAGAAATCTACAGGGTTAGTCCAGAGATGTCTATAGTCCTCTCATAAACCCGACTCTTCTTCTTGAGCTTGCTGTCTCGGTTTGGTGAGGGTGTCTTCTGAATTTGACTTGTTATTAATGGCGAGTAAATACGGCTGTCCCTGTTGTCCCAATACAGAAGAGCCCAAGGCAGTTCCCTTGTTGAGGGCGAACGGGGCACCTCTGGCCCCAGCGGACCAGCTATGGAGCAGCAGCAGACACAAGGCAGTCAGGCTGAGGATGGAGGGCTCGGGCCCGGCCTCAGAGACTCCCATCACTGTCCATCAGCTGTTTCTGGAGACGGTGGAAGCGTACGGGGATCATCCAGCCTTGGTTTCCAAAAAAGAGGGCCAGTGGGTGACCCTGACATGGAGGCAATACTATGAGCAGTGCCGGGCAGCAGCTAAAAGTTTCCTCAAGGTTTGTTTGCAAATTAACTTGTGCAGTGGCTTATTCTTTTGGTCTCTGCTACAGCACATTGG